TCTGACTCTGTAAGTTTCTTTAGAACAAAGCATTTCACATCAAACCACTCTGAAAGACTTTGTGTACATCTTAACAATGTAATTACGCAGAAGTTTTGAAAAATCAGTGGAACTGCCCTTTAAGATTGAAAATAACAATGGCAATAGCATGGAGAGTCAACAGAGTACTACCATGGCATTCTGTGAAGTTTAATCAAAGTTAACAATGTATTAATATGGTAGAGGCTTCCACTGAGGCGCACAAAGTGACTTTATAAGGGAGTTAACGTCATCTGTTTCTGCTCCACCTAGCGCGCCTTTTGTTCCCACACAATCAGCTTACATCGTTTCCATTTAAAGCTGTGTATCCTCTCATTCGTAGACAGTTTTATGCCAGGGTGAGCTTTACGGACCAACTGAAAAGTGGCTGCCGGTTGTTTTTCTGGTTGTTCCTGCCTTCTTTGTAGATAGCACAATTCCTAGACTCTCCAAATGTAACAGAGATTGGAGTCTCTGGTGGACAGTTGACCTATTCATGCTCCACCCACAAATGCTTTCTTTCATTGTTACTGTTTGGACAAGCTTTATAGAACATTGTCAAAAATGCCATTCCTACTAATGAGAAACTGCAGTGCACTGCTGTGAACAACTGCATAAATTATTCACATTAGATCACAATAGTGTGCTCGTTTAGAGTTGCTACATAACATGGAGTTTTCAGTAGTTAGTTCATGCTACGTGACCAAGAGCTGCACTATGTTACTGTAGCTAGTCGAAACTAGGCGGACTGGAAATGACAGCAAAATAAAATTTGCCATCATGCTAATTAGCTCAATTACACAACGACAAACTTCACACAACCTAAAACATCAGTGTGATCTTTCGAACACATGCAAAATAAATGTCTTTTGAAATTGATAACAGACTAGTTGTGTGCCACAAATTCTCTGTTTGAACTGGATATTTTTTTCCAATGTTCTGTAAAGCTTTTCCAACTTTGCAGTAGTAACTATAAAGGAATGCATTTGTGGGAGGAGCCTGGATGGATCAATTGAAATGCATCATCTTGGCATCCTCTTGTTATTAGCAAGGTGTGACTTTGGGTGTGGAGAGATCTCCTCCCCCCGTCCTAAATTGCCTTTCTCTAAACCCGTCATGCCTGCAGTGAATGTCTACCCCCCACATCCATCTCCCCACCCCCACTCTCCCGAATAAATTGGTGTGGCAATCAGAGAGGGAGGCAGTGGGAGAATCAATGTGCTCTCCTTGAAAGGGAAAATATAAAAGGGGGGCAGTGGAAAGGACAGCCACAGACTGTAGTGCTGACTAGAAATGAGAAAAAGATAGCAGCATGAAATAAATGATGTGGTATAGTCAGAATATGTGTGTGTGTGTGTGTGTGTATATATGTGTGTGTGTGTGTGTGTGTGTGTGTGTGTGTTTGTGAAAGGTTGTGAAGGGCGATAGGACCTGACTAAGCATTTTTGTCTGTACTGTCACATGGAGGTCAGAGCTGGGCTCTAGATAATCGCCAGCCCAGGGGGACGGGAGGTCCAGCAGAGAGTGACGGAGCAGACAGGACATAGGAAAAGTTAAAGGGATAGTTTGGCAAGTTACATTTGAATGATTTCCCCTTATCGCACATGTGGTCAGTGTGAAGTTTGTGTCTTTAGATTTGCACTAGAGCTAGTGTAGCTAATAGTGTAGCTAATAAGAATTGCATTCTTAAATCATCATATGCATCAGACCAGATAGAGATGTCAAGTAATCTTAAACAGACCAGCTGATATGGTTTCTGACCTTGTATGAAAAGTAGAGCTGGGTGGTCTGGCAAAAATGCAGTATCTTGATGCTTCAAGATGTTTTCATGAAACACAATATATTGCAATATTTATTTTTCTGACATCTGATAAGTTGTAACAGACAAAATAGTGAAAAATACTGTCAAAAACTATGAATACAATGAGTTATATTTAACATTTCAAATACTACGCTGCAGTAAATCCAAATAAACAGAAGTATTTACACTATTTCTAATTAAACTTGCAGTTGGGAAGTGTTTGTAAATGCTAACTACATCCCCAATATCAGAAAAGCTTATTTGGTCTATTGGGTATTGAGTATTTTGGTAATGAAGTAATTTGGTTGGTGCATAAAAGTATTGCGTTTGAATACCCAGCCCTAGTAGTAGCCATTTGAATCTTGAATCCTGAGTGTTGGCCATAGTTTTGTTCATTTTTATAGATAACAGTGCCAGAAACCATATAAGCAAAGAACTGCTTGATACAGTTAAGCCAGTCTGATGATCTTATACATTGTTCACTAGTGGTCATAAGCTTACATTACTAGTGCCAGTGTAAAACTAAAGCAGCAAACGTCAGACACGAACATGTCTTGGCTGCCCAGTTATATTTGGAGTAATGGGGAAATTGTGCAAATTAGATTTTAAAGCCATTTTTACAATGCTCAGTTTTCAGTATGATGATAATGGTGTGCTCTCTGGGTATACAGGAGTCATGCTGGAGATCAATAGTATTAGTGAAAAGTGTGCTGCTTCGTTTTACTGCTGTGTTTCTGAAACAGTACAGTAAGCCTGAAAACACTTTATTTGAAGGCTACCTTCACAGGGACTGCATAACACATGCAAAGCTTTCAATAACATATTTATAAAACAGTACTTGAGAACTGATAGAAAAGCTTGTCTGTAATCGCAAGATAAAATGAGAATGAATGTATTGTATTGACATAAGGAGCCAGACATCTGTTCAGTTTAGAACACTGTTATGAAGCATCATGCAAAAATAGAACTAATGAAGCGAAGACCTTATATCGGTTCTGTATAGTTCTACTTGAGTTATAGAACAGAAGCGTCATAATTATTAAGGAGACGAATGTGACTGCAGACATAATCCGCTAACTGTTTTTCTTGTCTGCAGCCTCCTTAAGAGAAATAGGTCATCAGAATATGGCTTTTGATGCTGAACTATGTTCAAAAACGTTTGTACTTTTTATGCAGACAGGGATCTTCTGCTTTTACTAAAGTACTAAAAGATATTTCTATTTTCACTCAAGTACAGGATTTTTGTATGTATCTGTATATTCATACATGAGGGAAAATATATATGAAAATCGTGGCTACAGTTTAAGGCCATCAAAATCTTTCATAGAACTGTTATGTGGTGCTCTTAACTGGGCCTCTGTCGAATAGGTTCCATTACGTGGAAATGTTCTTCATAACAGTGTTACAAATGGAACAAATGTCCATTACTTTACTTTAAGACCCTTTATGTCAATAAAATTTCAATGACTACATAAAATATCTTATGTCATCTTGCACACTTCATTTAGCTAACTCTACATCTAAAAGGAATGAGCTACATAATGACAGAATCACGTAGAGCACTGGGCTAAACCAGGGAGATGCACTGAGGAGGAAAGAATGCTGTGGCGTCACTTAGCGTCACAGTGCGAAGGCTGTATAATGGCATAGCACATTCCAGAATAGATTAAATCTTAGATGCACAAGAGCTGCTGAGGTCCTCCAGTGCACCTTCTGTCCTGCCTTTCAAAACCTGGAAGAAAATGGAGATCAGGCATGTCAGTAGTGTGTAGTGTAAAGAGATCAGCTTGTCTTTCCAAGGCTCTAGAACTGTAACACCTGTGCACTAAAGTCTTAGCAGCCATAGCATTGTCTGTAATCCAATCAAAGAGTGTTTTCCAACAATTTACGCCCTGCTCAGCTGTGTGCAGTGCTAATCAATTAATCCAGAAAGCAAATCCTTCTTTAAATGTTGTCCTTGACGACTTCAGAAGCCGTGACATCCGGTCACTTTAATGTATGCCACATGACAGATGTATGAACATGTGCTGCTCATGCCACTTAATGTCTTTGTGATCAAGTGAGCATCGAGGGGTGGGTGATATGCCAAAAATACTACATCATGATACTTGAAGACATTTTCACAATGCATGATACAAATTAAAATATTTAGATTTTCTGTGCTTTGCCAATGGTAATGCTACATTTAAGCAAAGGCTAGACAGACTATGACTAAAGTGATTTTTTTTTAAGTATTATATATGCAAAAATGGAGTAAGCAGGAGGTAAAATATGAACGTAAGATAATGATATACTGGGCTGGTATCAAATTGGCTACTTGTTAATAGGTAGTTTAATGTCATTATTATGCAGTAGTGGTTGTTGTTTTCAAGCATTCTAAGACAACCTCTGCTCCCTCATTAGTATTGTGCTGTAGGGGGGAACTATTTCATTTACTAAATATCGGTAAAAATGCATGAATCAGTAAATTAATTCGGACACTTTTTCATCATCAACCTGTTACATGAACAAACCAACATTATTTCTTGAACGAGGCTGAAATTGGCTTTGTGTTTGTAGCTGTAGACATGTTTTGAAAAGTGCAGGATCCAAAAACCGGAGGAAAAAAAAAGAGCACAACTTGATTTTGTTAGTCTTTGACTGCAGTAATCTACTGCACTTGCTATTCAGTGGTTTTGAAATATGATGAGCAGCAGACAGGTTTTTGTTTTTAGCTGTGTAGAGCTGAATTTTTTTCACAGTGTTTCACCAGAAAGTCGAGAGAAGTCTTATAAGTTCCGGTTTTCAGTGGCTCAGTTACCACTGTTAATGTTGCCTAACGTTCCTCTGTCTATTGTGTCATAACAGGAGACTTACAATGCAATTTGTTATATGTTCGCTAAAATAGTCATCCACAGTGTTTACTAGAAATTACAAGAGGGAGATGGTAGTGCCCTCAAAAATCACTCTGGAATTTCATTTTATCGTTCGGACAGTAAATAACCAGCATTCATAATAGTGCCCTAAAACACAAATACAGGCCCATTTCAGTCACAGCCAAATTTTTTCATATGTTCACTGTTCTAGAAGTACTGATGGTGCATGTAATTACAATAATAAAAACATATCTTCATATTACCTCTAGATCAGGAGTAGTTTTGTAATGGGCCATGTTCTCAAGCTGTTTGTGTTCCCACCCCAGCATGCCTCGCTCTCTGCCAGTCGCTCAGAGAAGGGCTCAGCCTGGTCAAACCGCTCTCTGGGAGCTCGCTGCCGGAATTCCATCGCCTCCTGCTCAGATGAGCATCCCCACATCGGCAACTACCGGCTGCTCAAGACCATTGGCAAGGGCAACTTCGCCAAGGTCAAGCTGGCGCGCCACATCCTGACTGGCAGAGAGGTAAGAATTGCAGACTCTAGCACTTTGTTTTCTTTGTTCATTGTTCACTGGTTCGACACACTGACACAGATTCGTAGCAGGAGTGTCCAAATTCTTTCTTGAAGGGACTGATTTTCTTGCTCAAAAGAATAGTTTGGCAAAAACGGAATTTACACATTTATTCCCTGAGGTTTGCTTCTTTAGCTTTGTGCTAATGTAGCTAACATAATGCAGCTAATGCAGATGACAAATAATGGAAGTTATAATGCACAAATACTATATGCAAATGCAGGTCATCACATACTCAAGTGGTTAAGTAATCTCAGCTAAATTTGTTTATTTGGTCTCTGACACTGAATCACATTTTTCAAGATCTAGTTTGTCCATATAAAATGGACAAACTACATCTTGAAGCCTGAATTTAGCCTCCACTCCATTCTAATAGATAACATTTTTTACAGACATTTTTGTAGATGAAAATTAGGTTTTCTCTTGCTGAAGTTTCTGCATTTTTCAGATGTAAACAAAGTCATTCAGAGTGGTTTGATATGAAATGGTTAAAAGAAACCTACCGACCCTAGATTTTTTTTTTTTTTTTACAGTGGTAGTGATAGGAACCAGGGGTCACATTGTCTACACCACAGATAAATCTGTTTTATTATTTTTTTTATCCAAAATGACCAGTGATCCTACACTTGTCTTTTGAGTTTTTGCGATACTGTTCAAAAGTCGTACGCACCTAAGCACATTGTTTATCTCAGCAGCGAGTTTGTTTTTGCTTGGAAAAACATCATATATCATCAGAATACGTACAACTAAACATAAATACATTAAAAAATGGCAGAAGTTTATTTTTTGAAAAAAGTAGTTGATAAATTGTGAGCTAGTTTGAAGAACAAAGTTTGGTTCTAGATGTCACGTGGGCACCCCCAGCCATCACATGTATTTGTTAAATTCCATCACCAGCACACATGAAATAACATACTGACTTGATTAGCCAAGGAGAGGTTTGAAAAGGGTTAAACAAAGCCACTGACATATAAAATCACAGTGCATTAAACTAATATTAATTGTGATATTAGTGTTTTTCTGAGCAAATACATGTTTATTGCCCTGATAAATAGCTTTTTAAATCTATTGTTCACAATCTGATATGTATTTTTAACTGTTTTGCCTTGCAATGCCTTGCATGTAATGCCTTTCCACACTAATGGATTAAAATGACATTTTAAGTCGAAACCTTGTCTCAGAACCATCATCAAAAAATGCTTTAGGTGTCAGGCAACAAATTAGTGACTATTTTATGCAACACCTTTCAGTAAGAGACCTTAAATGTTTCTGGTTCCTGTCACCAACCTGGGGCCCTTTAAACTGTGTATTGTAGTGACTCTAGACTGAATAAGAACATCACTGACCTATAGGAATGGTATTATCTGTCTTTTGAAGTGGGGCAGACGAGGCTTACCTAAGAAATCTATAAAGATTCTAACCTACTTTTTCTAAAACTTTGACCAGGAAAAATCAAGCCATCAACTATATGGGGTGTGTTTAGTTACTGCAGCTTTTACAGCAAAGTGAAATGTGACCTTTTTATATGCAAGGTATATGTAAATACAGAGCATCAGGCCCTTTAAACCACTTACGACCTATGCTTATATATTTTTCAGGTTGCAATAAAGATTATTGATAAAACCCAACTGAACCCAACCAGCCTACAAAAGGTAAGACCCAGATTCTTATTGAAGCTCCTCTGAAGTTTTTCTTTTCTTTTGCTTATTTTAAAGTATGACTTACAGCTCGCAAAGAAACTCGTACCATACTTTTAAAGCAGCAGTGAACTATAAGACTCCTATAGGATAAGAACGTAAAGAATGTAAAATATACTGCTGTTCATGTTGCAATAGGCTTTCATGTTGAATCACAAGGTCTGGATCAGAAGCTTGTTTTTTTTTTTGAGACATTAGGTCGACACTGCCTGTAAAAACATGAACTTTGACCTAGTGTTGTGACTGGAAGCCCCTTGATTTTGATACAATGAGCTGATACAGTAGCTTTGATGACTGTTTTGAGACAGTGTTTTGTGATGCAGTGCTGTTTTATCCAGAGCTGTCAGAGTGCCGCATAGTTTGCATTGTTAATCATTCCAGTTTGCATGAAATCTGGATAACTCCAGTCCATTGTTGTGATCAATTTTACTGAAGCTAAATGGGGTAAATGTTAAACCCTGGGTAAATGTCAATACAGATAAAATGAGCGGTTTGATTAAAGACAGGCACATACGCTTTGTATGCGTTTATCTTCTTAGTTTAAGCTGCAGTAAACCCTAAGTATATTCCACTCCTGCACAATATTGACTGAATTTGTATAATAGGCATGTAGCTTACGCTGACAGGTTTCTATAGAGGGTTGGCGCAGGTGCAGCTTAGGGATTTAAATACACATTAGGATCTCTGCCTTGGCTGAATAACAGTTACAGAATACATGCATTTATGCAGTGTTAAATATTCCTCTGTACAGAACAGAAAGCTCTCATCACTGACTGCTAATGTCTGTCGCTGTTCCAGCCATTCAGCTAGCAACCGTTTCTTCCAGTGCATTAACCTGGGACATTTGTTCATGTTTGACTCCTTTAAACAAGTGTTTTCATTTGATCTGCATAACTGCAGTCTGACACTACAGCGTGGGCTGTGTGTACTATGATCAGGTCCTTGTGTGAGGGTGTGCGTGTGACTTTCACACGTCTGATGTGAGAATTGCTGTTAGTGGCACTAATCACTCATACGCTGTTCTGTTGCCAAGGGAGCATTTCTAACCTTGACTTTGCTGAGCCTGTTCTCATGACTAAGTGCATATTGCAATAAGGGATGTCTAATATAGGCCTGTCACAGTTATTACATAATCATGTGATTGCAATTATTTTTCACAGTTCTTGTCAGTTAACAGTAGTTAGCATATGTTTTCATAATCACATTTCATGTCCCAACAAATGGAATATCATTTCAAAGTCAGCTTGAGGCAAATGAAAACAGAAAACACATTGATCATGCAACAACAGGTTCTAGCTTCTGATTGCTGCTGTAACATGTTTAGAGGGTAACAGGAACAGTCATGACAGTTACAGACCTAGTCTAATATATGGACAGAAAAGAAGGCCACGATTAGTTACAATCGTATGCAATTTCTATAGAAATTTGCAGAAAATTAAAAGTGTACTTACTGTACAGGATGAGTACTTACTTTAATAAAAAAAATAAACAGAACATGTAATTTGACCAAAGGTGCCCAAACTTTTGCATATGACTTCATAGTCCTGTAGGACAACAGGCTGTAAATATTGTGGAGAAAGTCCCATTGCAGTATTTCATATTTTTGCAATAATTATTGAATTAGTGAATGATAATTCATCCAAAAATTGAATGGTGATATTTGAGTGAGACATTTGCCTATTTAAACTATTCTGAAATAGAGCTCATTATCATGCCAGCAATGGAAATGGCACATTTAAAAGGAAGTTTAGGTAGTGTAGTATTGTAGTCAGGGATGCATCATATAGACAAAACACAGTGCAGTTATCCTATATACAGCGATTCTATTATTTATGACAAAATTATTTATTTTTGTAAATGACTTGATTAGGGCTACACAAAGTTCTGTTGATTCTGCAAATCATTCAGTACTTTAAACACGTGCAACACGTTCTATTTATGATTAAGATGATTATATAATGCTATATAGACTATATTTGATTTGGAGCTCAGTTCAAGTGGTTGGTGTCCATTTTGTTGATTTTGCTAGATGGGATTTTTGGTATTAAGTTTTAGTTGTTTTCTTTCTGTTTTGTTTTGTCTCATTTATTTACATAATACATGATAAATAAGTTTATGAAGCAATTTATTCATACATGTATTTATGCATTTATAATTACTATGTTTATTGATCTCTGAGCTGCTATCACACACTTTAGCTTTTCAGAGAATTTTTTTGTTATTTTTCATGAGGGCATCCACTTCTAAACCGCAGATCTTGCCATAATTACACGATACAGACACAGCTATACTGGACCTGTTTGTGCATTCGGCATACATGTCTCTACCGTTTTTCTCTCTCTTCTTGCTCGCTCGTTGGCTGTTGCCTGAATCACTTGTCGAGTTACATCGCTGACTACCTCATACTACAGGCCCCCTATCACTCCAGAGCTTGTTCGCTTCAGAATGTGAAAATTTGTAGGAAGGGGCAAATCGGGGGTAAAATCAGGCTAAAAATTGTGTAGTGTGAGTCCAGCTTAAACTGAAAATGATTGTTCTCATTTAATCAAGAATCATGCAGCCTTAGCAGAGCGGATTATTGAGGGTGAGAGCTGTCATGTAAAAGTACTTTCAGGAACGTGTTTTATGAATTTAATGAGAGGGAGTGTTGGACTCGTATCCCCTTTATGCCGGCAACAGAGACCTGAAGGCCTTTCACACCAGTGGGAAATTCATTAGAGACTATTCTTCTCTTTTGGCCATTACAGTGACCTTGTGTGTGTTTTCTATATTGCTTGGGTGTTTGAGCCTAAACATGCATTTTTGAATGATCCAATTTTAAGAAATACTCTTTTGTTTTGGGTATGTTCAGCTGGCTGCTGGGACTTGTTTTTGCCCCAGGAAACGGGGGAGGGGTGAACTGGATGACGCAAGGCTGCACACCCGCCTATACAGACAGGAACTGTAACACTTTTCATCTCTTTGACTTGAATGGGCATGCACTCTTTTGTCTTACTTTATGTACAGTCTTTTACCTAACCTTGATTCATCCAACGCTGCAGTAACATCTATGATGGGTCAAGATTCTCACAGCGCACAATAAAACATTCAGTGATAGGCTAAAGAATAATTTGCATATTGGAGCCTTCTGTGGTATTACAGTTGCAAAGGCCAAAGATGTATATTGTGCAGCCGTGGCTGAAAAATATAAATGCTATTGTTATATCATATAGGATTAGTTTAGTAATGAATAGTACAGTATAGGTCCATAGTCTGTGTCTCATTATCAGTACCTTGTATTGATTAAAACAGGCATATTAAAAGTGATGAGATGGAGTTTAGTGTGTGGCTGTGGCTGGTGCAGGGTGGGGCTGAGATGGGGGGGTTGCGGTGAGCTCTGCAGAGGTGGAGTTCAGTGTTGCAGTGTTGCTGGCCGTTGTCTCGTCTCGTCAGCACTATCTCCCCTGAGCAGAACACACCAGGTGACACCTTCTGGCCTGCTGCTCCACTCTCTGTCTTCCTGCAGCTGATCACTCCTCCTGCTCTCTGCTCTCTACCTCACCACACTCATCTTTTCTTTCCTTTTTCTTCTTTTCTTTCTCTCTCATCATGAATTCTGATCCCTGTGTCCGTTGAGCGCTCTCTCTTTTCCTCTCGCTTTCTCAGTCTGGAAAGTTTGTTGCTGTCATAGAAGGTATTCGATGGCTGAACACAGGGTGATTATTATTAAAACCGCTCTATCGAACCACATCTGAAACACAAACCAACATTGATAGTGATGTCTGTACTGACTAGGGCCCAACTGATATAAAACATTTGTGACCAATACAGATTTTAAGGATCTAAAAATTCTAAAGATGCACCATGATATGAAAATCATATTTTGGTATCTGCATATATTTGCTATTGGCCAAACGCTAAGATTTGACCACTATTTTATAGCAGTATTTGATGATGTATGTTAAGATTCTGGGCTACTGTGCTACAATATCTGCATTTTAAGATTAAACATTCAAAATTGATTTATTGTCAGATTTATTCAGAATGCAGGGCTACAATGAAATTCTTGTACTACAGCCGCATGCTCCTACATACAAAAATATAAATATAAACAGAAGTACACAGCGGGCAATAGAGGAGGGTGGTTTTGCACATACACAAATGATTTTGCACATGCTAGACAAGTACACCAGACAAAAAAAAGACATGATAACAAACAGTACAGGTCGATGGCAGTTTGATTACAGTTGTAATCAAGATGGCAGTAATAACATTGAACTGAGAATATACAGTGTAGAAAGGTGCAGTACTATGTGCATAATAATGCAAGCTAAGAGAGTAATACAGTGTATTGCTGAAATATATATGATTCACCAGAATGTGGTGTAAAATATACATGAAATGCGATACATACAATTTCCTAGCTAGACTATGCCACAAAATATACTAGTGAGGTGAAAAAAGGTGCAAGATGCAATATATACAATGTAAAAGGGAGAAAGAGTCAGTATTGGCTGTTAAGAGCTCTGATGGCCTGGGGGAAGAAGCCGTTGCTGAGGTGGCTGGTGCTTGCTATGATGTTTTGGACGCATTTGCAAGAGGCATCTGGATGTGTAAATGTCCTGAAGCAGTTATGACCGTTCTTTTTAGGAGTCTGAGATCCTGAGCAGTCAGGATGTCAAGCCACAGTGTGATGCAACCAATCAGAACGCTCAATGGTGCAGCGCTAAAAGCAGTAGTTGAATTCATTTTTTTTTGTTTTATTTCTCTGTAATCGCAATTTCTACTTTTTGAGACATTTATATATTCGATTTTTCTATTGACACCTACTAACACTAATCACTTACACATGGCTTTTATAAAACGTCTTTACTCCAGAAGGGCATTAATCCATAATATATTTGATGTGTGCAGTGATATATGTGTATATGCTTTTAAAGCTGAAACTGTCCATTCTATAATTATCGATTTAGAGC